GCGGGTTCAGCTGCAGAGCGTGGTGGGATCCGGCCAGCCACGGTGACCCCCGAGTGGCCGCAGCCCCCCAGCCCACTCCATTAGCAGGCCAGGATGCCAGGGGCAGCGGGGCACTGGGGGCAGGTGTTGCCTGCTGAGGCCCAAGGGCAGCAGGGGACCAAAAAGTCTGACAGGAGCCCTGGGAGCAGACACCCCTGTGCTCGGGGTCCCCAGCTCCTGGGGTCCCCAGCTCCCGCAGCCCCATCCCGGCTGGCTGTGGTGTCCCGGGCAGAGGACGGTAGCAGCACCAAGCAGGGCCAGGCAGCCAAGCCCTCTGTGTGGCCAGACAGCAAAACCACCCCAAGGGCTCGGCACACACTGTGCATCCCGCTGCACCGCAAATTCGGGGAGATGCTGTGCCTCTGGGAACACTGGGCTGCTCTGCCTGCCTGGGTAAAGGACCTAGATGCCCCCCTACCCCCAGACTCTTTGCTGAAATGGGGGTGAAAAATGGCTTTTCCCGTCTCCCGCCCTCCCCACAGCATGGCCGGGCAGCGATGCTCTGGGTGCCACGTACTGGAAAGTTTGTGCCGAGGAAGCAATGCATGCCGGGACTGGGGCTATTCCTGGCTCCCAGGTGGTGTTTGACCGAAGTTGGCTCTTGTTTTCGACCTGGCTGTAATTTTAGCAAAGGCTGTTCCTGAGCAGCAGGGCTGTGGTCGGCACAGCTGCCCAGGGTCAGCTGGCTCAGCTGGGGGCTTGGCGATGCGTGTCAGCACCCCACTGCCCACAGCCCGCTGGGGTGTCTGGCCAAAAGTGCCCAAAACATGGCAGAAATGCTTAAACCTGATGTTCTTCCCTTGCCGTGGCTGCAGAAGAAGGGAAAAGCGCTGGGGGTCTTCTGTGGCTGGGGCCAGCGACGTTTGCTCAGGCTGTTGGTGAGGGTGGCACTGACTGGGGTGCAGGGTCCAGCCCTGGGGTGCACCCCTCAGTCTCCCCCCACCACTGGCTGCAAAAGCCATGACGCTGGTACTGCTCACCCCGGCAGGCTGTGGAGGGGGAGAAAACCAAGCTTAAAGTCCTCCCTAACTGGCTGAGTCAAACCCTTGTGTTCCCTCCTGAGGGGCCCATTGAGGACCGTGGCAGGCACTCCACTGCACCCATCAGCCACCACTGCCACCCTGCACTAACATTCTCTAGAAATTTCTTCACATTAAGGTAAAAGAACCCCTTCTTGGGAGTCCTAACAAGGGCTGAAACTTAATGGCCATATTTCTCCAGGCGAGCAGAACCAGCCCTGTGATAAAACCTCTCCATCAGCACACCTGCCTGGAGACACATGGCTGTTTACAGCAAATATTAGCAGAAAACAAGGGTTTTCTTGGTCCCCAGAGCAGGCTGAAGCTCTGCTGGGAGTTTTATTTTTATTATCACGCTGAACAGGAGATGATAAATATTTTGAAGCAGCTGAAAGGTGTTTATTTTTGAGTCGGTTCAGCTTGTTTGCAACCTGTTTACAAGCCCGGGCATTTATCTTTAGGGCTGTTTACCTCTCCCCAGGCTGTGGCTGGGGTTTAGTACACATCTAAATAAACGGTCGATGGGGGGGTCTGCCCGCCCCTCCCGGTGCCTTCCTGCCAGCCGCCAGCTGCATACTGTGGCAGTTGCTGTTTTGACAGATCTATGCAAATGTTCTCGGCTTCGCAAGTGGGCTTGATTGCTCAGGTTGTGTTTTCGACCAAGCCAGCCTCAAACATTTATTTATTTCATTAATTCCCTTTCAATTGCAGGGCGATAAACCTCAGCCTTGGGCTTTCTAGCTGTCCCTAGCTGGGGCTTTGACCCAGGCATGCCCAGGGGGTGCTGGATAGTATTTTATAATTCATAACTTGTATTTTATAATTTATAACCTGGATTTTATTTCCCAGATTCAGGGAAATCTGCCCCATATTGTGGGAGTCTGCAGGCAGCCTCACGCATGTTGCAGCAGGTTGGACTGACAGATGAGCCCAGCTAAGGGGCTGCCTGGCAGGAGGCAGGGACTGATTAGTTTAATTCAATTAATGAGGGAGGATTCAGGGTGACCCAGCAGTGAGGTGGCAGCAGGAGGCCCTGGGCTGATCCCACTGTAGTGGTAGCACAGGGGGACAAGGCCATGAGCTGAGCGGTGTCAGGGTCAGCCCTGGCCCTGAACCCCACATGTGTGGGGACAGTGGTGCCTGTCCTGGGGGGCTGAGATGCAGTGGGATCATTGGGAGGGCTGTGTGGGTGTGTGAGCAGACATATGCAAGTGTGTGGGCTCAGAAGTGTGTGTGCACATGCGTGTGCAGCCAGGACATCCCACACTGGGGCAGGGACCACTCTGCCAGGCGAGACCCCACTGGGGATGGCCCTGCCAGGGACCCTCCAGGAGGGGTGACCCTGGGCTTGGGACACGCACCCTGCCACAGCATGCAGCCCCGCCAGCCTCAGCACCAGCCCCCAGTGGGGCCCTGGTGCCCCCCCC